GTTTTAACATTCTTCAAATCATTGTATACTGAATGGAATTGTACCAGAATTAAACAGATTACTTTTAGGTATCCAACTTTCAAAATATATACTACCTTGCAAAGTGTGAACAACCCCTTTTATGACTTTCAGAGATCCTAAGAAAAACATGCTTCAATCCAATTAAAAAGAGTTCAGATAATATGATTCAACTTGAAATTAAATGGGGTTTAACATCCTTTTGTCTGTACCAACTGGGCCAATGAAGACAGACATACGCCATACAGTGTGCTATGAGCTTCAACTAATATATGCAAGTAGTAAATCCAATTAATAAGACTTTGGATGTTATAATTTAACTAAGAGATTTATATGCAATAGTAATATTTGATTATCTTGTGATTATTTGGTGAGAATAAATGTAGAGAAATTCACAACAGTTTTATTAAGAGGTAGAAGTGTTAAATAAATACAGTGTAACTGAGTTGTCTGGTATTATATATGGTCACACTTGAGGAAATGTAAGCTGTGTATTCAATAAGAGAATAGCAGGAATTCATATTTATAGAAATAGTCATCAAGAGAGAGAGAGAGAGAGAGAGAGAGAGCGAGAGGTCATTTTGGGACTAAAATGTTTTTTTTCTTTCAAATATTTGCTTTCGCATAGGGGTCTTTAAATTAGCAGTGGGAGGAAACCAGAAAGCCTGAGAAAACCTGAGAAAGGCTGGACAGGCGACCCTACTCCTTGTCATTACCATTGGGTATCGAAAATACACCACTTGACTCAACGACAGACCTTATGATCTAAAGCACAAAAATCCAATAGAAACAGATTCAATACCCTTAATAGGAAGGTGTCTGTTAAATGTTTTGCAACTTCAGTGAATGGTGTTGTTGGCCTTTAGCCTGGCTTTCTTTACTTTCCATGATTCCTGTGTGTTACAATCTTTACTGTGTGTGTGTGATAAGTTAATAGAATATCTATATAGACAGTTCTTACTGATGGGTAGCTATAAGCCAGTCCTTTATTGATCCAATTAGGACCAGCTGACCTTCTCCGTGGTTCTGACCGGATATGGCTAATTCTAGCCCACCGGTGATCATTTCATTCCTTTCATATCGTTCACAATCAAATAGATTAAAGGAGGCTAGTCCACATTTGTACCACTTTTCTGTCTTAACTATTTATAATCTGGAAGAATATCGGATAGAGCAGGTCGAGCCGAAGGGGGCTTCTAAATTTCATCGATTACACCGTGTTATAATCCACTAGCTACATCTTCAACCGGCAGATCAAAAATGGCCAACATTATTATATTAAAGAGATTATTGAAGTGTATACATAATGCATACAGAGTAAGTTCATTATAGCGCATTAGCTTATTTGAGCTTACTAATTGCATTTATTTCTTGCTCCAGAGAATTGTTTCCAAAAATAACTGCACCACCCAGACATATCTTGATGAAGGCTGAAAATATTGTGGTGCATTAGACATTAATGGATAAAACAGCTGTTAAATGTTTTGTTTCAGCGGCTGATTTTTCACTGTATTTGTTGCAATAAACACACATTTATCTTGACAAATCTCAGAGATTTATCATTTCAATAGCTGCCATCTTACCATTAAATCGGGCATTGAAAAACAATCTCAATTCAAATATCTATTAAAAAAAAGTAGTAATATGAGAGTAATAAACACAATTAGATGGGTACAACCTTATTCATGTGTGTTATCTCCCATTAGAGAGAGAGAGAAATGGGGTTTAACGTCCACTCGACACAAACTAGGTCATTTCGGGACTAACATATGGTTTAATTTTTTTTACATAATTCGCTTGCGCGTAGGGGTCTTTAGCAGTGGGAGGAAACCGGAGGACCCGGAGAAAACCCACGAGGTTGGACAGGCGACCCTACTCCTTGTCACGTACAACCGGGGATTCGAAACCACCCCAGTCGACTCAATGACAGACTTTATGATACAGCGCGCGCACGCTAACCATTCAGCCATCCAACCCCCCATCTGCCAATAGAACATAATTAGCATGTATGTTGAATTGCAAAACTGATATAGTGCAGTATGGTACTGTATGATACTGATCAATTGTATGTTGAATTGCAAAACTAATCAAGTACAGTATGGTAATGATCAAGGCTGATCAATTGCAGTACTTACAGTTCTTATCAATTGCAGTATGATACTGATCAATTACATTATGGTACTATCATGTCTGATAAATTGCAGTAGTGATTGTGCCTATCAATCGCAGATCTGATCTGATCAAGAAAGTAATTTAAATAAGTACAGATTTTCTTACGCTAAAGAAACTTTAGATTTGTAGAAACAGGTTTCTATCGAATACAATATTTTTTTTTTTTTTTTTTTTTGAAGTAGATGTGGTATTTAGATTAATTCTCAAAAGATCTGTTCAGTTTTAATGTCAGTATTGAGTGGGCATGTTATTTGGAGTAAGTACAGTATGTGTGATATACCAATGATATGCTAACTGGTGAAAAGTTGTTTCAAGAAATGTTTTCTTTGTACAAGTTTTATTTACATTCCTACAGACTATTCTTAACCGACTTCCATGTCATTCACATAAATATTACTATTAAAAATAATAAATGTTAAAATAGAATGTTCTGTAAAATGGATCAGTTCATTAAATTATTTGGAATTTTTTAAGATACACCTGAGAGATTAGATATAGTCAAGCCTGGAAACCAAACACTTGTCACAGACATTGTTAGCCACAAATACAGGTACAATCTCTCTGGTACCTGTAATTTTACCTGGCATACCATTTCTTTTTTTGTACCAGTGTTTATAAAGATATTCATAATACCCAATACTACTTCGTTAGTGAAGCCGTTTTGTCATGTAAAACTAAAATAATTCTTTATCAAATTTGGTAATACATTAAACTCTGAAATGTACTCATAAATCCAAAAGATGACACAATTTTCTTCTTTCAAAAAAAAAGAAAAAAAGTGCTATCTTATTTTCAAGACTGTGATTTTTTTAGCATCTGAACCTATTTCATCTTCGGCACTGGTAGATTAGAACAAATTACTCTCTAATCTCAATACCAGCACTTCCTACTTGAAAACTACCATAATCAATACAAACTGGTTCCAACATAATCATTTAAAGTACACTTAACACCCCACTACCATCACTACAATGACATTACATTAACCTATATGTATTTTTGGCAGGCCTTAAATTCAATTTGAAAGTTCCTTCAGGCTTAATTGTCCAGCGCTGATCTTATAAAAGACGGGTATGGAAAAGCCAAGTTGCTTGGAGTCTGTACCAGTCTGTACTGATATAAATATTTATATAGTCTACAATCATAAATTCTGATGTCATCTTCCTTGTCATAACTGATGAAAACCTTTAGAAGACAGATTAAGTTTTCCTGAAGTACTAATTGTTATTCCTAAAATATGTGTATTAAAATATTATATGAATACGAAACTGTCCATAAACGATCATATATTTGATATTTTTCTTGTAAAGAGTATTCGAGAATGTTGGGATATGGATGTTTAATTAACCCTTCAAACAATCTGAAAGCAATCCCTTTTTGAGTATGAGCACTACTTGAAACCGTTATAATTATGAAGATAAATTATATTTCTCAAGACAGATGGATTTTTTGTAATTCTTTGATCAAAATGATGGAACGGATAATGAGTGATGTTCCAGCAGTAAGTGGAAAACGAAAATGGTAAATGATTTGGCTTGCCTATTTAATCATGAAGGCCAGGACTTGGCAAGCAATATTTTCCGCTTTTTTCTATCAAGTTTGAACTTAGTTGAAATCCAATCTTTCACTGAAGACATTTCCATAATATATTTTCTCCAAGTAGAATTTGATTACAAGTCAAATGTAGCCAGAGAATTAAATGTAATTTTTACATGTTTTAAGTTAAGGCCATAACAGTTTAATTTCTGTTCTTGAGGATCTTGGTAAAAATATAGCCACTTGAATCACATGAAAAATGTTTTGTTTAAAATTGAAAAACTTATAAAATTGTAACAAAAAAGCTTTTGAACAGCACAACCAAATCATCTACTTTTGGTTTATAAATAAGAAGGAAATAAGGAATATTTAATTTTTACACCATGTTCCTGAAAAACAGAATATCAAATTGATGTGGCCTAACCGTAATTTAATAACTATAAGTAAGTGAATTCTATAAGAATTTCAAATTTTGGATCCGAGAGAGAAAGGGAGAAATGGGGTTTAACGTCCACTTGACACAAACTAGGTCATTTCGGGAGTATCACATGGTTCAATTTTATTTCAACAATTCGCTTGCGCATTGGGGTCTTTAGCAGTGGGAGGAAACCAGGACCCGGAGAAAATGCACAAGGTTGGACAGGTGACCCCAATCCTTGTTACATACAACTGGGGATCGAAATCCAAATTTTGGATCCACAGCTACATTTAAGTGTATAGAAATTCATTTCAGTGCATCATTCGTCTTTTTACCGTAATGTTTGATCAATAATGGGCATAATCTTATAGCCTTTATTGGAAGTACGATTTGTGAACTTAATTAAATTGTTACCATTACTTCTCCTTGAACGATGTTTTATGTACTTTCAAGTCACTCATGTACATAAATCAAACATGGAAAATTATTATGTTTGACAAAAAGAAAGTTGCAACTGCTAATAGTGAAATGGATTTTCCGTACAAGATCTAATCCAAGATTAAATCTACTTAAATTGATTATTTAACATTTAATGAAAAAAACAAAACTAAAACATCAAAGGTAGATAATCTCTTGGCTTAGATTCTGTCCATTTAAAAAGAAACCCATCAAAAGATATCACCTCGGTGGAAGCGGACGTAAAATACAACTAACACTAACTAACTAAGATATTTTTCCTTGTTTATACCGATGGCAGATAATGACAAAAGCGGTATAACTTTCGATTTATCATAGTGATCTCACTATCAGCAGCTTTACCAGAAAAATAGTGGAAAATAATATTAAATTTAGTTACCTTTCTGATTGGCCCATATATTTCAAATTCTCTTCGAAGCTTCGATTCACTGCTATCATAATTCTGAAAAGGGAAAAAGCGAACTAAATAAATACACAAAATAACAGGATTATTTTTGTAACCAGTTGATAAAGGGTAAGCATCAGAAACGTGTCCTGGATTAAAACTACTTCTAATATACAGTAGTTGCTTGGGGAATATTACCTATACTGTATAGTACTTTAATTACATGAATTATGGCTCATCAGTTGAACATATTGTTTCAATGATGTAATGAAATGCAATAATGATAGGATCTATAGTATTTAACACCTCGTTAACACAATACTTTGATCACTTCAAGACAAAAATATCTGTGGGTGTTCTGCTAGGAAGGAGAAATTGGAATTAAAGCTGTGTTCTCAAGTAATCTTCATCAAATGTGCATTCCAGAGTGTACCAGGTGGACCTCAGTTCTATGTCTCATTCCAAAGACAATACTTATCATTGTCAGGCTGTATCCCTAAGAAGTAGAAGCAGGGCTTGTAATAAATTACATGGTTCCTTCTCGGACCACACCTGGATTTGAACCAGTCGTTGTTTGTATTTTAGAGGAGAGCTGAAAAACGCTGTCCTTAATCAACAAATTGAAAAAAATCACTCCCCTTAAAAAGCTCTCCCAGTTTCGATAAAAAGAGTGATTTAGGAATTAAGGAGAGTGATCAGTTGTGTGTATAGTAAATGGTTCTGAAGATCAATAACTGCATGTTAGGGGGTCATTCCTGGATTCATAAATGATAATAAACCCCAATGACTTTGTAAAGGAGAGCGATTTTCAATTGTAAGGAGAGGGAGAAAAACATCCCCTCGGTCGACATTTAGGTGAGCGGCAGACGCTTGAGAGAGATTGCTCGCCTTTAATAACAACAACTGTTTGAATCCATGTCATTCTAGTTGAGCGACAAGCAACTAGACAAGAAATGATTGGCGTACACTTTGTGCACATTTAAAGACTATATCATAAACCTATTCTGCTTGTTGAAGACATTTTGAATGGAAATGAAATAGGGTTTAATGTACTACTGTTCTGCTCCAATACTGGGCTAATGAAGACGGGCATACGCTATACGGTGTGCTATGAGGGATATTTCGCTCGGATAGCGGCACTACGGCATACTCTTATATCGAATTCAAAATGTCAAGAGATTTTTTACGTGCACGCCAATGTATACACAGGACCTTGTTTTTTTTTTTGTCCCATCCGAACGACTAGACAGCGGTTCTTGTCAGGCCCTCCGAATTTTGAATGAAACAAGGACATTAAGTCATTGAGCCAATTATAAAGAGATATGGGATATATTGATAAATCAAACACTTTTATATCCAAATATTCTGGACCATGTGGGTGACAATTTTCTTTTGAGTACTACTCTACAATATTCTCAGATGATTTGAATATACGTGAAATATCCAAGTCTAGACTATATTCTATCATTATCAAAAGACAACCAGTATATATAGGCAGCAATATATATAAATTCTCCAGTATATTATATATATCATCAAAGCACAGCGTAACCATAATATAATCATATCACATAACAGTACAAATATCACAGCCTTGTCTTAATTAAGACATGGTCTCGTAACTTGCTATATATTCCTGATAAATGAAAATCGATACAGGCTGTAAATTTATTTCCACAATTAGAAATTTATATTGTCTTGAAACTTGAAACCTCTATTTTAAACAGGGGAGGTACTCTATAGGCTTCGAGTTTATATACATATTGTGAATATGATATCGGTACCCATAAAAATTAATTTCCATAATACAAAATTCTTATTTTCTGAAACCTTTTCTTATGTTGAAAAGAACAAAGAGGTACTCCCAGGCTTTGAGTTTATATCATAGGCGTTTCGTAAACTGACATAAATATGAAAGTAGTGTAATTACCAGAAGTAGAATGCCATCAGGCACATGACACTCCTGGCTTCAGATGCCCTTATACCTCAAGGGCAGCCCTGATGTAGTCGTGAAACTGTTTAGTAGTATAACTAAGAAAACTGAAGTACGATGCCACCTGACCTGACCTGTCACTTGAGCTGCCCCGAAATAACAAATTTCAGTCCTGGAGCAGCCCTAGTGTAGCCGTTTGAACAAACATGAGAGATATGGAGTTTAACATCCACTTAAACCAAACATGGTCGTTTCGGGACTAATATATGGTTCAATTTTACTTAGCAGTAGAATAAAACCAGAGGACCCGAAGAAAACACACAAGGTTGGACAGGCAACCACACTCCTTGTCACTAACAAGTGGGAGAGAGAGAGAGAGAGAGAGAGAGAGAGAAATGGGGTTTAACGTCCACTCGACACAAACTAGGTCATTTCGGGACTAACATATGGTTTAACTTTATTTCAATAATTCGCTTGCGCATAGGGGTCTTTAGCAGTGGGAGGAAACCGGAGGACCCGGAGAAAACCCACGAGGTTGGACAGGCGACCTACTCCTTGTCACGTACAACCGGGGATTCGAAACCACGCCAGTCGACTCAATGACAGACTTTATGATACAGCGTGCACACGCTAACCATTCAGCCATCCAACCCCCCCTAACAAGTGGGGAATCGAAACCATGCCACTTGACTCAATGACAGACCTTATGATCGAGTGAACACACATTAACCATGCGGCCAATCCCCCTGAACAAACAAGTCATAAACATATATACATATATTGCTATTATGACATCTATATAGAATTGTTAGCAAAGCTGAGTAAAGTATGTAATTCTTTACCAAAAAATTCTCTATGCATTTCACAAGACTGGATGACTTTAATAATGACGACATTTAATTGATGAAATCCAAGTGTTGAGATGGTGATAATGTAGCTACAAGAATAAATCTCTAACAACCTACTGATTATGTAGGATGGGAAATGTACTGTCTACATCCATATAATACCATCCATTTATGTGTGTTTATAGAGGATTGGAAATTGTTGTATGCCAGATAGAATTGCCAAGATGTCTAGAATGGGAAAGATTGTCATGGCCATTGATAATTACTACAATCACTGAAAAGGTTTAGAATTTCCAATTCATTTGAAGCACTGGCAAATCCCCAAATTTTATTAAATAACATGCTAGTGCTTCTAAAATGTGGAATATTCTTTGAACTTTGAAGGCAATGAAAGTGGAAAAGGAAATGGTGTAACTTTGTCGGTTCTGAAGCATTTCAAAGGATGCATACAATACCATATAAATTGATAAATAGAAAAAGTAAAGGATTTTTGTAACTATAATGCAGAGGGTGGACAGGAGGTTGGGAATATGCCAAGATTAGCACAATTACGTTGCCAAAGCAATCTCTGTGACTGACCCCCTTTTACCAATGATAATAAAAAAAACGTGTCCGACTTGCTGATAGAATAACTCAGTACGAGACTTGAACACCAGAAATCTCCTGCATACAAATATACAGTAACGAAGATAATTAATTAGTATCTTGTTCTATAGTAATAATACGGAAGTTTTCTATTTAGTAGTAGGAAAACAATAGTATTGATCGGAGAAGAGTGATCTGGTATGTACATCAATTAGCAGATGGAGAAAACCATAGAAGAATGACATTAACTCAATAATTGATCATATCTGAACAAAGATGCCTTATTAATAACAAAATACTATAGAGCAACTACAAATATTTCCTCATTCATACAAATCATTTATTGATGAAACTATCTAATTATTGGCATTATAAAATATTCTATGACATTTTTTTTGCTAAATCATTGTTTTTTTTACTATTGAAAGTAAAATGGTACATGTACATAGATTAAACTTATCAACGAAAAGCTTTCTATTCAAAAACTGCACATTGCATAACTTTTTGCTAGGATGGACAACCACTCCCGAACCGAACCTTTTGAATGCAAGGCAAAAAAAACAACAACTAACATTTGGAATCTCCCTTAAAATACATCATGCACAATTTCATGGTAACCTATCCCTATCTTATTTTGGCTTTTTAGAGAATAATAGAAACCTTGCCTTCAGAAAATTACTTTAGACGTAATACGCATAAGCATATCCCTTCTATATAAGCTGAATAGATTGCAAAATTTAGCTAAACCACCTTCCTAATACTGTGAGCAAGGTTAAGCCATTCCAATGGCACTCCTACACCCTTACGAAGACCTTCCTTGAGGACAAACACTGCCAGCTAAGAACATTCATTGAGTAAAATTGATCAGCATGTTTCGCAACTGCATGCTTTTAAAGGTAATGCAGACTTTAAGATCTAGCTTGAAGGATAATTTACATGTACGCAGCTTCACGTAAATTGCTCATCCATTTAGACTGGCTGACTCCGGGCACAATTTACGTTCTTTTTATGGTATATTTACATGAATTTAACCTTTCTTGATGTTACATCTACGTCCACAAATACCAATAGTGCCTTTTAAGAAGACAATCCTCGACATACATGTACTGGTGAAACTGCTTGCTTTATAGGTATAAGCATTGCTTGTGAATCTACATAGTGAAGCCAACAACAACTTCTGACATTTTTTGATTTTTATGGTCCTATAAATAATTTAATATCTTTCCTGGCTTAAACCGGCATTAAAAAATTTCTAAAAGCTTGCATACTTTTCATCTTTTCTAAAGGTTTTTTAAATTATGACCCAAATTGATCTTCGATCCCTATCTGTTTAGAGGTTGGATTTCCACAGAAGAGCTAATTTAATGTTTGGAATTTCGAGTGAAATGTTAACAAAGCCATAGTTATTCATTCAACTGGATTTTTTCTCAATCGATTTTGCCGTCAAGATCAAACCCAACAAATATTTTGATCAAATTATCTGAACTGCTTGTTTCAAAACAAACTTAAAAGGACATAACTGCTTTGATTTCGGTCTCAAATTAAAAGCTTCCATTAAAATAAATTTAATTGATTTGCCTTTATGTTGTGAGCTTGATATTTTTTATTTAAAATGTTGTGTCATAAGATTAAACCAATATATAACTGATGTTGCTTTCAGCTGTCAACAGTTTGAAGGAGTCTTTCCAGTT